GGATGTCCAGGAAAAGTAATCCATATAGTGTCCATTTCATGTCCTTTCTGATAATGTTCCTCAACACAACGTCCAACTGATGTCCATAAGATAATGTCCAATGGACATCAATTTGCAGTAGTCCATACACAGTCCATATGATGTGTACATTGTTGCTTTTTCGTCTCGGGTATCATCGAGATCGTTCTGCTCCTTCGATGGCGACAGCTGTGCACAGGGTTAGCCGGAGCCGTGTGATGTGTGATGCCGTCTGCCATTTTTGTTTTGTTGTTGAACATCGGTGCACGGACAGAACGCCTGAGACTGATGATATTATTCTCAAATCTAGCGTTTTGGTAATATCCATACAATCCATTCGAATTTTGTGTACCATTCATAATATGACATTATTGTTATAATCTGTTTCATAATATTTGTGTGTGAACGACGAGTGTTTTGTGATGCTATTTCATTCGATCGAAGAACACATGAGTCACTTAGTCATTCAAGTGCATGAAGGCCAATTATTCCGTTGCGGACGTGTTAATGAAGATGTCTAAGGATTTCAACATTAGAACTGGTCTGAAATTGAGTGCCTATCTATACATATTTAGTGCAAATTAATGTGAACTTGAGAAATTGGTTCAAATCGTATCAAACTGGAATGATGAAAGGAGTTACCATAAAAGCAATAACATATTACATTATTATTATATTTTATATCATGAAGATTGTTTGTAGTGTTCTTGAATATACCTACTCACATTTAACCAGAAACATAGATTCTATTTATTGACCAGATCGTCCTATATAAATGTACATATTATATACTAGATATCCAATGGATGTACAGTGATAATGTCCTATGGATGTACGGTATGGACATCCATTAGATGTCCGTTTGGGCCTTTCTATGGATGTCCAAAAAGGTGGAAAGTGAATGTCCCATGGATGTCCATATGCACTCCCGTGTACGCATTCTAGTTGTCCATTGGATATCCAGATTGTCCAGACGAGTCTGTCCAATGGATGTCCATTGGACTAATTTGTGTTATTAGGGATATAGGCTTTTGTCTTCTCAACTCTGAAACACACTGTACATGATATCACCAGGCTTACCATTGCATTTCAATCAAAACATGTCAAAAATGTCAATAAAACCCGATTTGGTCTTTTTTTGTTTCAGAATTCTGTTTTGCAGTGTATCGGTATATATGTATAATCCCTTCTCATCGATTTTGTCACAGTATCAATAAGCAATCTGATAATTTTGAAGATGGACCATATATCAGGAGGAAAAAATGTTGAATAATGTCTTTGAGAAAACGAGGAAGGAACTAGATTCTGGTGAAATAATGAGAGATTCATCAGTAGATTCATCAACCTGTAGCATTATGGATGGTCCATCATCTTCAGAAATGTTAGTAACCAAAGTAGTAACTATGACCGCTTCTATCAATGGTAAATCTATCTGCACTAATGAAAATTTATCTGGAGGATTCAGTTCGAGGTTCAGCTATAGTAGTAATAATTCATCCATTGATGATAATGTTGAGATTACCCAAAGCATTACAAATATTCCTTCTATATAGAAAACAATATAACTGGTAATCAAACTGCACATAAGTCACTGACTTTTCAGTTGGGACAGTGAGCGCTTCAGCATAATGTACCCCAAATAGCAATAACTACCAACCTTCTACATATATATTGAAACCCTCTCACCCATAACTTCCTCTTGATGCGAGAAAATTATTAAATACACCAAGAGTTGTTGATATAGAAGAAGTGAAACCAGGAAATATTACCATTTTGGTATGAATAGGATTATTGAGAATTTCATCAAAAACTCTTAACTATCATCTCAAATTGGTAATCATGTAATCGATTTTCTGATTAATGTTGATGCTTTACCTTTATCAAAAAGTTCTGGGAGCCAGTTGCACCCTAATTTGTCAAGTGATTATGGGGCAAATAAAGCCATTAGTATAATAGATATTTTTCATGTAAATGGAAAACCAGCATATGCAAATGAGTTACTATATGCATTTGTAACTGAAGCCATAGATATTCTTAATAACGAGGATATCAAATGGACATACATGATGGATACCCTATGGACATACATGATGGATATCCTATGGACATACATGATGGATATCCTATTTACATACATGAAGAATATCCTATGGACATACATGATGAATATCCTATGGACATATATGATGGATATCTTATGGACATACATGATGGATAACCTATGGACATACATGATGGATATCTTATGGACATACAAAACGGTGGCCAAAGTACGTCCATTGGACATCCATACGATATCCTTCGGATAAGATTTGGATGTCCAACGGATATCCAGAATATTCTGAATGGATATCCATCGGACATCCATAGGATGTCCGTGTGTTGTATGGGAATGAAAGGATTGAAATAGTTTTTCACAATATTTTGGTATACGAATCGTGTTTTTTGCGTTATTCATTATTCAAGCATGTCTTCGCATTGTGCTGTTGTACAATGCACAAAAAATGCAGCAAGAGACTAGGGAATATGATTTTTCAGGTGAATAGTAATCTCACATAGTTATCATTATGAAATGTTTTCATTCCTTATTAAAATTCCTTCTGCCTTCTGCCACTTCTGCAATACAAGCTAATACTGCTAATAGATTGAAAATGTCTACAGCACACACGATCGTCAGCATGTCAGACCAGTCCTCCCGATTGATTGAATGAATCTTGCATTATTCTAGAAATTTCAGGTATATTTCTATTAGCTCCTATTGTAGAAGGGATTCCGATGAGAAATCAGAGAAATAACCAAATTCCAAAAATGAAAACTATATGTGAGTGACTATAGTAGGTACTTACTTTTAAATCATAATGTACCATCCGATTTGCTTCATCTTCCGCTGCAGTTTTTGTGCATTTTACAACAGCACAATGTGATGACATGAGCGAATTGATGAATAGCGGAAAAATTCGATTCATATGCCAAAATAATTGTGGAAAACTATTTCGATCACTTGTAAACAAATAAGTAAAGTGACGTTGTGTTTCATTGTTTTGCCTCCAGTGTCGGTCATCTGACAGTTCTTGCACGCAACCCATTGTAGTAGGATGAAACACAATGTTGTACACAATGCCGGGGAAACTATTTTCATAAAAAATTCCGAAATGTTATTGCTTGCAATGTGTGGGATGTGATCATTGGGTTCACGGAAAAATGTGTACTTCATCGAACATGTATTGTGCTGATTGCATCGAGTACCAAGTACCCTTACAGCTCTGGGGACATTACATTTCATAATTTATATATGTTATGTTGCAAAAACTGAAGTTTTTTTATTGCATGAAATAGTTTATTCCTTGATGATAGCTTGTTGCCATATTACCCAAGATATGATGCCATATTACCCATATGCATTTTAACTTATAATCTTCTGCTGTGTGGGAGAATAGCCACTTAAATTCATATATTGTCTAAGCTCTAACGTAAAGTCATCGTCTTTCAGAAAGACGCAATAGTTATTAGATTGTGAGAATTTAAATTTGCTATCCGTATCCCAACTCAATGTTGATACAGGATACTGGACGAAGTAAGTCGCAAAAATTGAAGTTTTTTTATTGCATGAAATAGTTTATTCCTTGATGATAGCTTGTTGCCATATTACCCAAGATATGATGCCATATTACCCATATGCATTTTAACTTATAATCTTCTGCTGTGTGGGAGAATAGCCACTTAAATTCATATATTGTCTAAGCTCTAACGTAAAGTCATCGTCTTTCAGAAAGACGCAATAGTTATTAGATTGTGAGAATTTAAATTTGCTATCCGTATCTCAACTCAATGTTGATACAGGATACTGGACGAAGTAAGTATTAGGTACGGGTATCTAACGAATTGTTTAGCCTGGTTGCTGTCCTGATCTCAACTCAATAGAGACTCCCTGGGATTAACTCAAGATAATTCGGATGAATGGATCTCACTCCGACCTCCTTTCAACACTTTGTACCAATTTCATCGATTTAATGCTACGCCAACTGATGAATAATGTTATGTAGGCAATATTCAATACGTTTCTCAGGTGTATTTACCACGCTTTAATTAGCTTGGTTTGTATGTTCAAGATGAGCGATGAAATGGTGAATAGTGTACGTTTTTTTTTTCCTTCGAATAACTTTTTACCATGCTTTTTGTATCCAGAGATACTTCATACCATGTACTGGAATATATAGTTACATCCAGAGAAATGGGTGATTTTAACTCAATTCGAAACGTCGAATTAAATTGAAACTTGATAGTTTTATTCCATTATCCTGATCGGGATCTTCAGTCAGCCGAATTGAAGAATATAAAATAAATTGTAGTTCAAAAATCTAAAAGAAACACGCTTTCATAGATAGCCAACTTAAAAAAAATAATTGTGTTGATAAATACACAACCTTGAAAATATTGGTACCTCCGCAGTGTGTTTCTTCAATTTTTTTAACTACAATTCATTATCAGTATCCAGATGAAACGTATTCAACCACTTTCCATATCACCGTCCTAAACAGGTAACTGCTTGATTGACAGATAATAATACGAATTAAAATACAAAATGTCTTTATTTGGGGCTACAATTTGATCCAAACTGACGACTCTTCTGTTGTAGCTGCTGCACTTCACAAAGTGATAGTACAGATGTCGAGAAAAAACTTCTTGTCATTATTGCATCCTGTATACCGGAATGAAAATATTCACCACAGCAACGTCACTTGTTGCAATATACCAAACTGTTTTTTTTTTAGACTTTTAATCGATCAAAGTGTAAATTTGCAATGAAAGATTGAGAACTCAGTAATGTAGATCATGTAGAGTACCTACTAAATACAGGTTGGGCGAAAAAAATTAAAATTGGTTTACAGATAGGAAATAACAAGGGTGGTGTATGAAGGTGTATTTGAATATAAGGAGGTTTGTTGTTCGAAGAGTAACCCGGTATATCATGGTTTACTCACCGCATTTCCATCATTTTTCTTGCCAGGGGTCACAGAAGTTGCTCTCAGTTGTAGGTATAGAAGAGCAGGATCACTCTGATGGGTGGCTGGCTCATCAAGAACTTTCAAACCTAAATGCGAAAACTGTTCTGGACCACATTTTTCCCCAGTAAGAGTTTTCTCTGGGGGAACTACCTTCAAAGAAGCATCAATATCTCCAACTGCAGGCAAAAATTCTGGGATGAAAGGTTTCAACTTGGTGTCCAGGTTCAAGTTCTGAGGGATGTATCTGAAAATAGAGCAAATCCAAATATAGTTATTTATTATTCAAGGGAAAAAAGTTGTAGATTTTAGCTCCAGGTTGTGTGAGCTGAAATCTATTATTTTTCCCGTGTATAATACAATATTTTTTTCTGTGACAGGGGAAAGGATATGAATCAATATTGAGAAGATATTACATTATTTTGAAATCTGAAAATTATCGACGTGAAATTTTAAGTTTTTAACGGAAGGGACACCTGCGTTGTAGGCATCTTTATCATTCTTCTGAAGTAATCAAATATCTGATGTCATTTCTGTCAGTCTAATTCTGTGATTTGATTTAAAAAAATTGCGAATTTAGTGATTGTTTAGTAATATACGTAACCGCGAAGTCGAATGGAAGATAAAAGGAGTTGCAGTTTTTTCTCGGAGACGGTATTATTGACTCATTTTTCGGAACTATAGCAGAAAAAAGCCTTCAACAGTGTATTTATATGTGATATATATCCGGGAAAAAAATACTCACTTTTTTCCCACGGGAAAAAAGTAATTTATTAAAAGTGACATTTTATAACCTGCCAACAGAGATGAAATGCCAATACACTTCAACCACGTATGCCTATGCAACGCAATGTAAAATACAGAATCCATCATTTACCCAACCATAAACAAAATATAGTTGAGACTGCAGAATCCACCACAACTGGAAGTCATATTGTTTGGAATTATGTAATTATTAATATTATTGCTAGTTCTGAAAATGTCAAAGATTATACGTGAGCTGGCACTATCAAGACAAGAATAGGTGGAACGGGCCAGTGTATAATAACAGGTTCTTACTTCATTCATGTACCTATTCATTTGTTTGAGACATATTGTGTAAATTCAAACATATAGGGTGTTTTTTGGAGGACTATAATAATATTTTGAATTTTTGTTAATCCGGGCCTAGAATTTTTTTCTGACGGATATACAAGTAAGTCGCTGGGGTAGCAGTGGAAAAACACGTCTACCAAATATCAAAAAATATACCAGGTGGTACGTATGCCATGAATCTTAGAAATGACCAGAAATGATAAAACACCCTATATCTCGAAAATGAAATATGAGGGAGCTACCATATATGGTATATATGGTATATATGTTCACCCCTATCCACCGTTGAAGTATTTCCGTTTTCCAACGGAAAACATTGTATAGCATTTGTATTGAAGTATGAGCAATTATTACGAGAGATGAATTTGTTTTTCTCACCTAGATTACAATAACCTTCTTTATGACCAGTCCTATTACATCTGGTACATTTATGATTTTTGTATGAACAATTCTTTGCATGATGTAATCCGCCACAAAACCAACATGGATTCTTGGGAAATGATTGTGTTGGTACTGATTTTGAGTCATCTTGTATATGAGACGGTATGTTCCTGCCCTATATAATATAGCCAGAATTATTTCTCAACTGATTCCCATACAGACGAGATTGTTCTTGAAAATTTCACACCAAACATTTTCGATCAATTTAAAGCCTGTATTTCATATCGTTACCATAGCAACTAAACAAATTTCTTGGTAGTTTGTTCCTCCTCCTTGGGGACGGAGCATGAAATAACACTGGAAATTTTTTGACATTTATAGGTTAAATGACATTTACATTCAACTTCAGATTATTTCGAGTTCATCCTATAAGACAATAAATGAAAATAATTTATCAACAGTTTACCATATAATATTATGTAGGTATACTTGCAAATTCGAAATTTACAAAAACACATGTTGTTACTATACCTTAGTTCTTACATTTCATCACAAACAACCATTATTCTCAACTAAATCATCTAAGTGTTGTTGAAATTTCTTTAAATTGATCAAAAATGTTTGGTGTGAAATTTTCTTACCGAATACCTACCACTTCAGCTTCAATTATTATCCGGGAATTTTTTCTCTAACAGGAATATTCAGATAATTCTCCCTCGTCTTTATTCGTGTTCTCGAAAGAATTTCCGGAAATAATTGAAGCTCTCGTGATATTATAAGCGAAAATGCTTCTGATTTCACACAGCACTGACACTGTCATTATTATCAGTATATTTCTTATTTCCAACAATGAAACTGTCTTTTGTCAGGTTTGATATCCTTTGGCATTCTGTTACCAAATCATGGATTGTTACTTTTCTGTATCATTACTCTCAACCTTCGAAAGTATCTTGGTACGAATACCTGCATCCTTGCTTGAATGGAGACCACATATGAAGATCAGACATTTGAACTGATCCGGAGTAATCTGGTTAATCTTAAAGTCCTCACAATATTTATTAACTTTGGATGCAAAGGAAATAAAATCCTCTGAATCACTTTCAACAAGTTACATAAACTGATGATATCTAGTATTGAATAGGTACTGAAATTCTGCTACCGAACATTTGTTTGAGCTTCAGAATAGTGTCTTCAAAATGTATGTCTTTGATTTCTTGGGGAAGATTGAAATTAACATTCTGTTCATGACAGGTAGTTTTTAAGTTTGACCCTAATCTGACCTTTGCTGAATCTGATAATTTCTTTGCATCTTCTGAGAAAAGACTTTCAAACCGCTTGTACCACGATTCAAAAGTTGAGCCTGTTTCTGGGTCGTAATTGAATTTGGTGATGAAGTTTCCAAGAGTACCTATCCATCCTAAATTCTTCACTCACTTCTGAAGGCATTTTAGAAGTTGTTCCGAAGAGCTGCTTGCAAGGTTCACAAGAAATTCTTGTTGGTTTTTGAGGAAAAGTTTTTGTTGCCTCTCGACTTGCTCTTGCTGAGATTTGATGAAACCAAAAGTAGTGTTTGTTGAATGTCCGATGCGTCCATGAAGATATAAACAAATCCGATATCCTCGTCGCCAAAACTGTTATGCTCTCAGATACAATCTAGATATGGAATAGAATTCGACCTTTCACACTTATTCCTTGAACATGACATGTATTGTCTAACACTTGACAACTCCTGATTTTGAACATATCCTTTGTATTTCAAATTGTATCGTGGGAATATAAATTCACAATTCAGCGGCTTCTATGTTTTTATAAAACTGTATTTTATTGGTAATAGTTCGAATATTTTGTAATGATTTCGCTGTTATTTTTTGAAATTCATATTTTCATTCCACAAACAACCTATTACCTACTAGATAACTACTATTGATGATTGTACATTCATTCTTACATGCATAATAGTCTTATTGGAATTCATATTCATTCCAAAAGAAAAACAAAAGACTCAAAGTCAGTCGACCACACATTTATATAATACTATATCGTCAAATACATGTTACCGGTTTCGGCACAACGGCCATCATCAGACAAAAAGTACCTGTAAATATAAAATAGATAAAAACAGTATGAAGAAGGAAGGAATACAAAACCTACCGACAAAATTATGGGCACACTATAACATTATTAAAAATTAATTTTTAATAATGTTATAGTGTGCCCATAATTTTGTCGGTAGGTTTTGTATTCCTTCCTTCTTCATACTGTTTTTATCTATTTTATATTTACAGGTACTTTTTGTCTGATGATGGCCGTTGTGCCGAAACCGGTAACATGTATTTGACGATATAGTATTATATAAATGTGTGGTCGACTGACTTTGAGTCTTTTGTTTTTCTTTTGAAATTTTATTGGACCACTTTGAGATATGGATGATTTTCATGATTTTTTCATATTCATTGATAATTTTACGAAGGTATCTCTACTTGTAATGTTAGTGGAGAAAAGAACACTATACATGAGCATAGAATGTAGAAGTATACTAGACCCCCCTCTTAGTACTTCTTTGAATGAGTGACACAAGTAAGTAGAGCGGCTATGTTACCACCAGGCCCAGCCAATTAAACGCCAGAATTCAGTTTGAGGCCAGGCCCACTAAACCAATCAGAGATAAATAAATGAATAAATAAACACACTGTGGTATTCAGGCCTCCGTAGTAATATGATTATTTTGATGCTATTTGAACAGGATATGTAAACGTTGAAAATTATTATCAAGTCAAAATATAGAAAAAATTGAGCTGCATGAATATAAGAAAAAACATATGCAGAGCGAGCTTCAAAAGCAGTGGCAGATCAAAACTCTTGTGCCAAATGATATATTGAAAAAACATATACCCGGTGAGCTAAAAATCCAGAGGCGGATGGAAAATTTGAATAGCGTTTGACCCTACACCTAAGATTAACAGACATTTAGCGGATGATAGCTATGACAGATGCCGTATGCCATGTGACCTTCTGGTTCTTCAGACTCTGCCAAAAGCAAAACGCTCAGGTTCAACTGGAATTGACCAGAACCCAGTCAGCCGATCCATTCATCATCAACCGCGAAATTTATCGAACAACTATCCGACATAACTAAATTGGGCCGGCTAGCCCGTGTCCTGGCGGCCGACAGCCGACCGTCTCTCTAAAGCCATCAGTATGCCGCTCATTACATTACGGGTCTTCTGGAAGGCAAAAGCAAGTACTCAAACGTGCTTCATTCATGGCATATCTTCGGCCCGATTGAGATTCTTCAGGACTGCCATAGATTGGCTATTTTTATTCCCCAGATAGAGGAATTTTTCAGGGCCGTTGGTTTGTTCGTTAACGGGATTGAATGAATTCAATATTCATGGTATACTGAATAAGGTTCTCAAAAAAGCTATTGGACATGTCAATTCTGTTATTTGATGTCCCATTTTTCAACTAGGTATGTCAAAATAAATACAGGATAATGCATACAATATCAGTGAAAATAGGGATGTTTGTTTCTCAATATCTTATTATCTTTGTAAACTGAATATCTTTACAGGTACTGTGTATTGTGTCTGAAGATGGCTGTTTGAGCTGAAACTAGTCACAAAAAAGTCAATTTTTGCAATAAAATTTTGTGGTCGACCGACATGGTGTTATTTTGTTTTTTCTTTGGAGAAATCTGGACCAATTTGAGAAGGATGGATGGTTTCCATGACTCAAGATCATAAGATTTAAAATGGGGCCTTCGGGCTATCTGCCTCCACACCGCGACCTTCTCAGATCTATTGTGTCTGCCCTCAAAGTCGATAAGAGTTCGTCGGCTAGCCCCGCCTTCTCTATGAGACTCCATAGGCTAGCTTTCAGATCCCCTGTGTATCTTTGGGCTTCTGGTTTTTCCTCACCCAGCGTAAGGGACCATAGTCTTGACAAGCCCTCACAGTCTCAAAGTATGTGTCATGTGTACTGCTGTTTCCTCTACTTCCTGACAGAACCTGCACAGCAGTTCTTCAGTCAGACCTATCGTACTCATGTGTTTGTTGAGCCTACAATGCATTGTGAGATGTCCCACTAGTATTCTAGTTGAACTTTGTTTCTGGCTCAGTAGATATTTTGTGAATGTTGGCGATGGTTTTTCAATAAACTCTTTTGCCTCTCTCATACCTGGCGAGTTGTTCCACCATTTTCGAGATTTGGTTTGCATCCATGATTTGATACTAGTCTTTTGTATAGCTTTCGCAATACCACAGGAGGGTTCTGGGCCATTAAGAGCTTTGTTTGCTCCTGCTCGAGCAAGTGAGTCTGCCTCTTCATTGCCCTCGTACCCTGTATGTGCTGGGACCCATGCTCGAGTCAGTCTGTTCTGACTGCCCAGTTTATTTGGGGTTTCTATGCAGTCTCATACTAGTTTTGAGTTAACTTGCATAGATTTGACTGCTTTGATGACCGCCTGGCTATCTGAATAGATTGCAATGGTTTTGCCTTTAAACTCTTGTCTCATCAATTCTTTCACGCAATGAGATTCTTGTCTTTGGCTTAGCCCCATAAATACTTCCTCCCATGCCTCTCTGTCCGTTATACTCATTTTGTAAGTTTTTTCAATGCTCTATTCTGGAATTATGCCATTCGTTGGCATTCCCATGATGGGGTCGCTTTCCAACTTTTCATATAGCTTTCTATAATCTTTACCGTGCGCGTTGCCAATGGGTGTTTGACCCCTTGACAATCTACTCACGACTTTAGATCATATTTGTGTACAAAAATGTGAGAGAACCAGAAAATATGTTTCCTTTCTATTTCTGTACGACAATAAAGCTATAGACAACAAAAAAAATGATGTGGATATGGTGGATATCTCATTGTGATTATCCATAAAATATCTCCAGAAGAATATTCGTTTTACATCCTCGATGAGTATCGTGTGGATGTCAATTTCAAATCCAGAAATATCCCGTTCAGGATTGGACTTGAAAAGGATATCCATTGGAAATATCATGTGTTATGTGGATTCTAGGCCATCCTTGTTTTTTTGAATATAAATAAATATTTTCTCTTTTTTCCCTATCCTCACATGATTGTTAGGGAATATGTGAATATCATAATAGGTAATATCACGATGTTCTGAATATTCGAGATAATTCTGTCGTTTCATTGTTCACAAACTCGTGTTGCCAAGCAACACAACGAGTCCGTCAGGACGAGTTGTATTGCTGAACGGCAACACAAAACAATGAAAGACATGATTATGAGATGATATCCAGAACAGAGTGGTATTTTGCTAGAATATTTCACGTTCACGAAGCATAAAAAGCATTTTTTTATAAATGAGTCATTCATTCTGACGAGTACAGTTATAATTATTTTATGCCCAACTGACTTTGATTCGCTATTCATGGTTACATCCAGACTCTGCTTCGCTATCCATGATTACATCGTTGAAAACATCAACGCTGATAGACCAATCAAAATTGAAAGACAGCTAATGTTCTAGCAATAAGCACACGTTGTCTCTAGCTTGTGATGGTTCAGATTATGTAATGAGTGAAATATTCACTAAACTACTCACTTCGAAATGAACTGAAAAACATCTCTGACTTCTTTATCAACGTCTAAATTTTCGTAGAGTTTAGGATCGTATTCACCGGTTATTATTTCTTTTCTTCTATCTTCATTTTCACTATCTTCACTATCGCTTGATATATGAAGCATTTTCACGGGGTGAGTAGCTTCTCTTCTAGTTGCTGACTGCAGCTTGAAAGATGCTCCTGGGCTGGATAAGCTTGGAACTACTTTGCCCTGCAAGAAATTTAGAAATCAAACCACAAACGGTAACTAGAGGTAATGTTTCATTTATGCTTATTTCTATCGAATGCATATAATTGGTATATGACACCGTATGCTTGAAACGAATACATATTGTGATATGTGATATTGTGATAAATATACTATGAGGCTACGAGACCATTTTTCCTCAGATTCTATGGAAATTATTAGATGCACGATGGAACGCCCCATAAGATCCTATTTGGAGCAGAGCAGATGTTTTCCCAGATCCACGGACTTTTTCCGTGAATTTCAAGGTCAAAATAGGCCTTTTTTGAGCTCACTTATCCACGGAATATTGGCTAGGCTACAAAACGGGTGAACGTTCATTAGGAGAAAAATAATAAGTAGTAGTGTATGATAATATTTATTATTCTTAAATGTAAATATAAAATATATTTTTTGAGATATATATGTATTCTTCAGTTCCTGGAATAACATATCTCTTATCGTCATTTTGACTGAGAGCAATCTTCTTTGCACGATAAAATTGAACTCGTGAATGAATGTTCATTTACAGGAGGTTACAGACGGCTATAGTACATTATTTTTATAGAAGATTACAGTGTTCATGCAATAAACAGTAAAATCTAGTTCGTTACGAAAAAAATACAGCAGAATATAAACAGAAGAGAGTACCCGACTAAGTTCATTTAAGAACTTGTCTTCGGGTATCACCAATCTGTTGAAGTTTACTATTGAGAATATGTGTCCAGTTGAATCATTCGAACTATAGTAGATACTGAATGGAACAAATAATCAATACTAAAACTAGAAATATGATTCAATTGTGTATTACCTAACTATAAATTAGAAAATCAGAGATTGTTTCGAAATGATTCCGAAAAGTACAAAAAATAACGAATTAGGAGAAAGAAAATAAACATCTTGCAGAGGTTCATATTCTCTAGATTGAATAGAGGAGCAGAGTTAAGTTGGTAAGAGGAGAGATTCAACCAAATCGACATGCAGGCCTGCACTAGTTGTTGCTATTTGGGCTCATGAATGATTCAATTGAAAAACTGATTAAATCATCGTAAAGAAGAAGGTTGGGACTAGGGCCTGGTTATCATACGGAGTCGAAACTCATTCATTTATAGAAGATACAGATTTTTGAAAAACGTAAACATTGAATTTTTTTTGTCTCAAATTGAAATATTTTCGATCTCAGTACAATTGTAGGAAATTCGGCGAGGTGTCACTGAAATATCAGCTATTGAAATGGTTCCATTCGAACAGGAAGCAACAAAAACGATTATTCTGTCAACAAAATATCCATTCATCCCAGCTGATCTCGGTAAACTCCATTTCTTGAAAGAATATAATGCAGGAAACTAGGATGTGGTAGTTCAGGCACTACCTGATAGATGGCAGTGTTCGAAATGACAGACTGCGGCAGAGAGGAATGGTGCATTGTATTGCAAGCAGATGGCGCTTAGGAGAGATGATGAATTCAAACGCGTTTACACCGTTGCCAATGTTATACATATTACTCGGACATATTATGAAATCTAGGCGACGTGATAATACAGAGGGTATTATTCAATTGTCCATGGTATTATTCAATTATCTGGGCATATTTCAAGGGGAGGTTCTCCGAGTGTTTGTAAGACGAACAAATCTATAAAAATATAAAACTCTCCTGTCACGGTCACGGTCATAGTGGTCGAACTCCTCCGAAACGGCTCGACCGATTCGTATGAAATTTTTTGTGCGTATTCGGTAGGCATGAGAATCGGTCGTAATCTATTTTTTAAATAGAAAATACAAAATGGCGGATCCAATATGGCGACCGAGTATAGTTATCCGATTTCATTCAAAATTGGTACTCAGGGGTTTTCGGAGTCGGAGATTATGAATATTTAGTCAAATTTTGGTAATTCAAGATGGCGGATCCAATATGGCGGACGAGCTTTGTAATTATGGTCAGATTCCATCCAAAATTGGTATCTGGGGGTTTTCGAGGTCGGAGATTATGATTTCTTCATCGAAATAAGGAAATTCAAAATGGTGGATCCAATATGGCGGACAAGTTTTGTAATTATTTTTTTTATCGCTTGGAGCGCACGAAAGGAAATCCCTATAATGTTCAAAGAACATCGTGCGTTCCTAGGGAGGAAAGGGACAGGAGGTAGGTATTGGAGTTTTTTTTTTAACTTCTGGAGATTATTTGTTGTTGGGAATACTTCCTCGGGCACTGAATTCCAGAGCCTAGCCGTTCTATGGATGAAGAAGTTTTGATAAAGTTCTGTTCGACATCTTTCGAGGTGGACAACGAGAGGATGTGCTGACTGGGCTTGTCTACTTCGTCTGACTGGTATTGCTAGTGGAGGGATGATAGCCATTTCCCGTGGAATTATCGATAGAGAAGTGAAAGGTCGCCGACCTTTCTACGGTGTTCCAATGATGTCAAAGATAGTGAGTGAGTGTGGCGTCACCCACCAGGCGAATGGCTCTTCTCTGGATGGAATCTAAGAGCATCAGCCTATGTTTCGGTGCTGAACAGAACAGATTGGTCAGATATCATTCAAAATTGGTATCTGGGGGTTCTCGAGGTCAGGGATTATGATTTTTTATCAAAATTAGGAAATTCGAAATGGCGGATCCAATATGGCGGACGAGTTTTGTAATTATGGTCAGATTCTATTCAAAATTGGTATCTGGAGGTTATAGAGGTCGTAGATAATTATGAATCATTTGTCAAAATGGGGAAATTCAAAATGGTGGATCCAATATGGTGGAAGAGTTTTTTAATTATTATGATCAGATTCTATATGTAAAATTGGTATCGGGAGGTTTTCGGAGTCGAAAATAATGATCCTTTTATCAAAATTTGGAAATCCAAGATGGCAGATTCAATATGGCTGACGAGTTTTGTAACTTAATCCGATACCATTCCAAATTTGTATATGGGGGATTTTGGGATGGGAGATTATGATTGTTCATCAAAATAAGGAAATTGAAGATGGAGGATGGCAACTGAGTTCTGTAGTTATGATCCGATTCTATTCAAAATTTGTATCTGGGTGTTTTCGGGGTCGGAGAAGAATTAGAAAACAAATGAATAAAAGTATGTCGATAAATATTCAACTAAAAAAATATTTTCTGGAAATAATTGTATATAGCAGAACAACGTTTGCCGGGTATCAGCTATTGTAATAAATATTAGTTTGAAAAACTAATGAAACACCTTTTTATAGATAGCCGTACTAAACAGAAGTGAGTAGAAAATAAAGAGTAGTTTGTAAAAATGAAGAGGTATAGAGAACCGAACTAAAAAGAACTAGAAAATAAATAGAGTAGTTTGAAACGGCCTAGATTTTGTCACTGAATTATAATTATATAAGTAGCTAGACCTGAAAATTTAAACATACAAATTCAGCAGAATTTCTTCAATTCTATTCATGAGATCGATAATTATGTCAGCATATAGATAGAAATAATAGGAATGGCACAGTTGTGGAACAAACTTCAAAAAGCTTTGTTAATCTGTGTCAAAAGTTCAGGTTATTTCACTCTAAAACTCATGCAAAAAAATTCGTCTCAGAGTACAGTTATCAGATTTTGGATCCATTGATATGGCGATGTTCACAAAGGATAATACCGCCACGGCAACAAAACAAAACTGAGCGAGAAATCGTTATATATATGTCTCTCCCCCTCCCGCGGCGAACCGGGGGGATATTCATTGGTCGCGCGGTGATTCCCCGTCTTTCTGTAGTCGCCACGTGCCACTTTGAATTGCATGAACTTCAGATGAACTTCAAATCTCTGTTCAAACTAACCGGGATATAATCAATAATTGAGAAGCCAGTGTTGCAAGCTGCTGCAAATGATATGTCGCAAAAATTCATAAGAATGGGTAGAAAGGCGAGGCAACGGGAAAGTCAGCCACATACGAAATATTTGAAAATATAGCAGCCGCTGAGCCGCTTTTTTTTCGAGACATTTGGAGACGTTATCGAACATCCAGTTCATGTTTTAGAGAATTATCGTAGGTAGATACTTCATATTCCACTTACATCTTCTTTGGGGAAGATTTTTGAAATTCAATGAATTCCGTGATATTAAAATTTTCTTTGAAATATATACAGGGTTATTCATTCAAAATGGTCAATGTGTGAGCTAGAAATAAGAACATAAGAATATGAAGATTCAGCCTCACATCTCACATCTCACATAGAAAATGCTGTTAGTTTTGGAGAAACAGGGTGTACAAGAAAAATATTTTATTTTGAAATTCCTCATACAATAACTTTGTAAGTTTTAAATCAGCATGAACATTATTTTCTTATATTTTTTTCATTATAATTCGATTTTCAAATGATTTAAAAAAAGTTGACCATTAAAACAAAATGGATTGTGAGATATAGAAAGCATATGATGGCAAATCAATTTCTCACCGTTATGTTGAAGACCGAAACCAGGGAATCCTGGAAACTTTGGTTGGACCAACTCGACAAACTTTATTATTACCTAAAAACATTCGCTGTCTAAGATAGACTAACAAAAACTTTTGAGATGGTGTTCGCTTGAATCTCCTAATTTTGACAAATGATTCAAAATCTCCGACCCCTGAAACACCAGTAAAAATTTTGAATGGAATCGGATAATAAAATTAGAAAACTTGTCCGCTATATTGGATCTGCAATCCTGAATTTCCCAATTTTGACGATAGAATCATAATCTCCGACCCCAAACACCCCTATATATAAATTTTGAATAGGATAGAATCATCATCACATAACTCGTCCGCCATATTGAATCCGTCATCTTGAATTTTTCATTTCGGGATTCATAATCTCCGACCCCAAAAAACCCCAGATACAAATTTCAAATGGCATAGAATCATAATTACGAAACTCGTGCGCCATGGTGGTGAAGCCATGATGAAAGAATCATAATCTCCGACGCCGAGAACCCCCAGACACCAATTTTGAATAGAATGGGATCATAATTATTAAGAACCTCGT